GTGACTGACTTGACAAGACAAGACCAAGACAAAGCGTACTCAACAAGCTACGCGGCACAAATACTCCGGCGAGTAACCACATCGGCTAAATACAAGACTCCGGAAATCAAAGGGCAAGGACATCGGCTTGGGAGGACAACACTTGACTAAGCTGTGCCACACCTTGGCCTAGACGTGCCACACCTCGATCTAGGTCACGCCATCCCAGGAACAAAATCACTCACGCGAGGATCAAGGATCTAGAACGCCTAGATATTAACATCTCGGCCCAGATGATGCACATCTCGGCCTAGGTGACGCGCACCTCGGCCTAGATGGTGACATCTCGGCCAATATGCCAGGGTGAAGATGGAGGTCAACCAAAGGGGTTCCAAGATAGTTCTAAGTGATAAAGGTTTCAAAGGTGTCTAGGCTTAAGATGACCTCGGCAACACACCAGACAAGAACAAAGCGTGCAAGCAATCATTCAAGCAAAACAAGAAAAGATTTGCAAATGCACATATTAACACAAGATCATCCACAAATGTATGAAAGTATGACTAAGTCAAAATGAGGGTTGTTACAATTAAACTTCCTTTTCGATTTAATTTCCAAATGGATCGTTAAGGTAGAGTGCTTTCTTGAATGAACTTACATTTTTAATTTTCTGCAACTTCCATTTTTATTTTTATTCAACTTCCATTTTTATTCAAGTTATTTTTCTATTTAACTTCCTTTTTTATTTAATTTCCAAATAGATCGTTAATCTATAGTGGTTTCTTGAATGAACTTCCATTTTTAATTTTCTGCAACTTCCATTTTTATTTTTATTTAACTTCCTTTTTTATTAAAGTTTATTTTTTACTCAACTTCCTTTTTTATTTAATTTCCAAATAGATCGTTAAGGAATGGTGGTTTCTGGATTGAACTTCTATTTTTAATTTTATGCAACTTTCATTTTTATTTTTATTCAAGTTACTTTTCTATTAAACTTCTTTTTTATTTAATTTCCAAATAGATCGTTAAGGTATAGTGCTTTCTTGCATGAACTTCCATTTTTAATTTTATGCAACATTCCTTTTTCTTTTTATTCAACTTCCATTTTTATTCAATTTACTTTTCTATTTAACTTGCTTTTTTTTTTAATTTCCAAATAGATCGTTACGGTATAGCTGCTTCTTGAATGTACTTCCATTTGTAATTTTCTGCAACTTCCATTTTTATTTTTGTTCAACTTCCTTTTTTATTCAAGTTTTCTTTTCTATTCAACTTCCTTTTTTATTTAATTTCCAAATAGATCGTTAAGGTATAGTGGTTTCTTGAATGAACTTCTATTTTTAATTTTCGGCAACTTCCATTTTTATTTTTATTCAAGCTTCATTTCTATTCAACTTCCTTTTTTTATTTAATGTCCAAATAGCCCGTTAATGTACAGTGGTTTCTTGAATGAACTTTCAATTTTAATTTTTTGCAACTTCCATTTTTATTTTTATTTAACTTCCTTTTTCATTCAAGTTTCTTTTCTACTCAACTTCCTTTTTTATTTAATTTCCAAATAGATCGTTAAGGTATGGTGGCTTCTGAATTGAACTTTCATTTTTAATTTTATGCAACTTTCATTTTTATTTTCCTTCAACTTCCATTTTTATTCAAGTTACTTTTCCATTAAACTTCTTTTTTATTTAATTTCCAAATAGATCGTTAAGGTATAGTGGATTCTTGAATGAACTTCCATTTTTAATTTTCTGCAACTTCCATTTATATTTTTATTCGACTTCCATTTTTATTCAAGTTATTTTTCTATTCAACTTCCTTTTTTATTTTATTCCCAAATAGATCGTTAAAGTAAAGTGGTTTCTTGAATGAACTTCCAATTTTAATTTTCTGCAACTTCCATTTTTATTTTTATTCAACTTTTTTTTATTCAAGTTTCATTTCTATTCAACTTCCTTTTTTATTTAATTTCCAAATAGATCGTTAAGGTATAGTGGTTTCTGGATTGAACTTCCATTTTTAATTTTCTGCAACTTCCATTTTTATTTTTGTTCAACTTCCTTTTTTATTCAAGTTTTCTTTTCTATTCAACTTCCTTTTTTATTTAATTTCCAAATAGATCGTTAAGGTATAGTGGTTTCTTGAATGAACTTCCATTTTTAATTTTCGGCAACTTCCATTTTTATTTTTATTCAACTTCCTTTTTTTATTTAATTTCTAAATAGATCGTTAACGTATAGAGGTTTCTCGAATGAACTTCTATTTTTAATTTTCTGCAACTTCCATTTTTATTTTTATTCAACTTCTATTTTTATTCAATTTAGTTTTCTATTAAACATCCTTTTTTATTTAATTTCCAAATAGATCGTTAAGGTATAGTGGTTTCTTGAATGAACTTCCATTTTTAATTTTCTGCAACTTCCATTCTTATTTTTATTCAACTTCCTTTTTTTATTCAAGTTTCTTTTCTATTCAACTTCCTTTTTTTATTTAATTTCGAAATAAATCGTTAAGGTATAGTGGTTTCTTGAATGAACTTCCATTTTTAATTTTCTGCAACTTCCATTTTTATTTTTATTCAACTTCTTTTTTTATTCAAGTTATTTTTCTATTCAAGTTCATTTTTTATTTACTTTCCAAATAGATCGTTAAGGTATAGCGGTCTCTAGATTGAACTTCCATTTATAATTTTATGCAACTTTCATTTTTATTTTTATTTAACTTCCATTTTTATTCAATTTTGTTTTCTATTAAACTTCTTTTTTTATTTAATTTCCAAATGGATCGTCAAAGTATAGTGGTTTCTTGAATGAACTTCCATTTTTAATTTTATGCAACTTTCATTTTTATTTTTATTCAACTTCCATTTTTATTCAATTTAATTTTCTATTAAACTTCCTTTTTTATTTAATTTCCAAATAGATTGTTAAGGTATAGTGGTTTCTGGATTGA